AAAGGAAAAACAAGAGTCCTAGCTGAGAAGATACTGCCTTGCCTGCCAAAACACAAGATGTCCAGAAAGAGAAAATTGGCTTAACCAAAGAAGACAGAGGCACATAAATTGGCTGCAACTAATTCAGTGTATGGACATTCATAATAAGGAAAAGATTTCTAAAAAACAATAGAAATCATACTACATAAGAAATATAAAAGAAAGAGGTATGCATTCAAAAGCACAGCTGTGAGGGAGTATTTCAAGATACTGTTTCAATGTTTACATCTACTTTCTCAACGAGGGTAAAAATAACAATAATAATTTTAACTAAAGTTACTATTTACAGGGGCAAGGGGGAGGCTGTCAATAAAATGAATGAGTTCCAACATTACAGAAATGCTCTTTTCACCTAGACTTACTGCCTCCAACAGTAAGATATACATAAATCCAGGCCCTCTGGACATGGAAAAAAGAATCTATGGGACATATTTTGCATATCACCATAATTTGGGGGTCTGTGATTTCTCAAGAAAACAGATATGTGAGAAACATTTTGACAGTTCAGTCTAATTCCAGAATTCTTTTGACTAGGTTGTAGTCGCTACTTGTGAGTACTGCACATAAAAATAACTTTCCTTGAGCTCAAGAAAAAGTGATTGTTGGGTTTTTTTGATACAAGGTGAAATCCCTCTGCATAACTAAGCAATATGTGGCTAAACTTTAATTTATACACAGTTCTCTATGATAGGACATTGTGAGCAAGTATTCAAGAGACAGATGAGGGTTAAAAAAAGATGGTATGACTTGAGGATCATTTAAAAAGATCTCTCCTATAATAACAACAACATACAAAATATTAAGGAATAAATAATGTTGTTGTCCTCCATGTGATAGCTACAGTAAGACAAGGACTGTAGCAGCTACTCCGAGCACAACAGCAGCATCTTTGTAAAGTGTGTGATCCCTTATCCTAACCTAGGATCACGTAGTAATTTTCCTGCCCCAGGGTTCAGACCAAAATAACTCTGAAAAATTATACAAATAGAACTGGACTTCAGAAATCATGAATGAAAAATAAAAGAATCTTTTCTAATACCATTGAGTAGAAGAAAACACACACGTGAGCTATTAAAGGTAAGCAACGATCAGGGGAAAAGGCAACAAGACTGGCTTTTATAAATTATTTTGCAGGTGGAACTTGCTTATTATTCTCATTTAAAATTTTCTGAACATGAAGAAACATTTTCTGCTTTCAAATTTCTTGCAACTGAGCTGGGAAGACACCTTGCACAATAGCATTTTTCGTTTATAATCACTAATTATCTTTCTTATCCTTGATGGATAAATTTTTTTTAGACCTAAATTTAAGATACCAATTAGCCATGCTCTGCACACTTCACAATGCCAAAGTGTTCAGCAACAAACTCTAGGGCAGGCTGTTCCAGCTTCTTGACAAGAGCAGATGTGGTTTGGTTACTAGTCACTTAGGTCACTTAGGGTCCAGATGGCAAAAACAACTTGTAGTGTTATGGTAAGTGGAAAGACAATAACAAGGCAGGACAGAGCAGACCTGAGAACAACCCATGGAGAGCTCTAACAGCTTAGGAACAGAGATAAAATTCTGGAAAACAGAAGTCTTCTTGTTTTTGTTCTCAGATCAGTAAATGATATGCCATGCGGAATGAAATATTGAGGACAACGTTACTGATTACTTCTTTTCCCGGCTTCTCTACCTACAAATAGAGCTGCCTACATACATACAGCTACATCAGTAGGGGCTGAGTTTCCAAGATTTCATCAAAATTTCAAAAACTTTGCAATTCCTGAAAAATCAACTGCAGTTGTAAGGAGCCTGGTCACATCTCAAGGTTTGCTAGTCTACCTCACAGGGACCTTGTGAGAATTCACTAGCTGGGACAGGAGTTCACACAAAAAGATATTCAGCACAGTTCACAGCCCATCTGTTTGTATTCCTATAATCACGAGTAACAGACCTTATAGTCATTTCTCTATCTGATACAAGAGGCAGAGCAGAGCATAAGCTAAGATGATGATGCAAGGGACTCTGAAAGACATGCTGCAGAAGCATCTTCTCTTACCTCCTGCCATATTCTGTCTCCCAAGAAACTTAGAGACTCTCTCAGAAGCAGTCTCTTCAACTCACTCCTATTTTTATGTTTATTAAACACACGTTTCTCTTTTATTCAGGAGGACATTAGCAATGCTTGACTTCTTAGACCAGAGTCTTATCTCCACCTTCCACATCTTACACCCAGTCATTTATACAAGACACCTTTTTTTTCCCATCCAGTTAGCAGACTGTTTCAGTTCAGCACTGACTGGGGACAATTTAAGGCAATTTTGCTAGCATTTTTCTCTTTCCACTCTCTGCACTGCCCAGCTCTGCCAGGTTTCATCCACTCTACTGAAGTGTGGGAGCAGGCCTGACACATTAGCAGATGCAGCTCAAAATCAGCCCATACCTTAACACTGGTCTGGATCTCCTTCACCTTTTTGCCCATGCTACTTCCCCAGACAGATCTGCTTCAGGTGAAATGATAATACAATTCTTGACAAAAATGTATTTCCCTGCTTTTTTTCCAATTTAGCAAAAAGACAGAAAATACTGATGATTTTCGCCTTCTGGGGATACTCTCACACACTTTCTAGGAATAAGCAAGTACATCTTTTTGCCATCCCATTATTACACATGTGCATGGTTATAACAAAATGCTCTGAAGGGACATCAAGCAAATAATACCAATTTGCAAAATTCTATAGCAATATATTTATACGAATTACAGAATTCTGTATGTATTTACACACCATTACAGAATATCAAGTAAATAACATATATTGTTCTTTTGTTTTTCCCTCAGATTTTTCTTCAAGTGAATTTTAGTGCTTGAGAAAGGTGCCAGATGGACAGCACTAGAAAATGAAGACTTCTGTTTGTCCACCGCACAGGAGGAGAGGCACCGCAAGCCTCCCTGCTTTGCCACGTCAGCTCTCTCCAGCCCTGTTTTAGCAGGATCACATAAGGAGCAGGAGGGCATCCATATCCCTTCATGCATTGGCAAAGGAGCTACCATCACCGAGGAGAGGATGGTTTTGCCCATCCCCCACCAGAAAACAAACAGAAATAATTCATTTTACACCAGTGACTGAACAGAATCTGTAGTTCACTACCTGAAACAGGCCAAATTTGACCCAGTGAACCTGCAGGGAGTGGCAAACTGCCAACTCCTGGGCCTTCCAGTCTTGCAGTAATGCCTAAGTTAAATTACATGTTTCTATATTTACATAAAGTCAGTAAGTCAGTATTTACACACCATTACGGGTTATTCGAGTAAATCGGTTACAGTTTATTTATATGGACTGCCATAAACTCATAACATTTTTCTTGAATTTAATCCTTTCTTTAGAAAAATACAAAAAAAATAAATTAAATTAAACATGTCAACTAGCAGTAATGATTTGCCTATGGCTAAAAATCCAAGTCAATTTAACATTAAGACTCTAACCATGGCCTAGTATTGTGGCCTCAACTCAGAATATTTTTAACCTTTCCAAATAATTTCCCTGTGTATGTCAGATTTACTGAAACAGCAGAGAGTTGTAGCCTCTCTTCCTTGTGGTAGGACTGACCCATTTAACACTGAGCAATGAACCTTAGTTCTCTCCAGAGGCTCCCTTTCTTCTTCTACGGTCTTTGCATCGCCCAGACTAACAATTCCAAATCCAACTGACCCGCAGCAGCCAAAATACCTGCAGGTCTCAGCAGCCCCAAAGGGTCAGAGACAAACACGTGGGCTGCAGTTGAAGGCTGTAAATTCCGAGGCAATAACAGTCCCTAGACAAGTATGTCTAACTGTATACTACAAATCAACTAATGTAATTTAAGTATCTTTATCATTCATAAACAATTATAATAAAATGCCATGTTTTATTTAAGATTACTGATATTGCCATTTGAGATATGGCCCCTCCTACCTGCTTGAGTGCAGAAAGGGCACATTTGCTCAGGACATCAAGCCAGAGGTTATTCTAGAACAGAAGTAAGTTTCAAATAATGTAAATTAGATAAATAAGAGTGCCTTAGAGCAAAAATTTCATAATTATTAATAGGTTACGAACTTATGTATTGCTCCATCCAAAGCCTATCTGCGCTCAGCCCCTGTGCCTCTGCGGACAGCCAGGGTGTCAGAACCAGTCTTGCTCCCGACATATCCAATGGCAAAGGGTACACTCAACTTTTAATGGCACTGGATTAAAATCCTAAGGGGCACAACAGCTACAAAATGCATATTTCATTTGGACCTTAACAAGATTTTTGTCCTTTTTTTATTTTTTCTTCAAGGTACTGGGGAAAAAAAATGCCTCTATCTAAGGGTTTATTTCCAAATGGTAACTGCTAATCAACGTGTTTGTGTACTTAACATAAAATGCTACAAACCCTTAAATATTACATACTGTTACCTCACTTAAGGTTCATGAATGTTTGAACATACTTTAGGAAAAACAATAAAAATAAGTGTAATACTGTCCCCCTCATTGTTATTATTGATAGAGATTTATTAGTTTCATTTTGCAAGTTTTACTTTAGGAAGGGTGCTAATATCATGTATTATGACAGTTCACACTGAAAGCAATTTTCCATAAAAGATATTACAATGACCCCTATGGAGCTTGTATAATTTCACAGTAGATAGTCAAGTGCACAAATAAACATGTTTACAAGAGTGATCCTGTTAACCTGGTTCTTGCCCTCTGAAATCTTTATGTGCTCTTTGTGGAATCTTAAAATTAGTACAAATGTCGTTGTTATCATGTTGTTTCTGGTATTCTCTTTAGGAGGAAAAAAAAGCATATTTATCATTTAGCTTTGGTATAATCTGCAATAGGTTTTAACAAGTAGAATATATTCCAACTCCTATATTTTTCACAGCTGTGAAATTCACAATGATGTAAGAGGTCATTTTATCAGAGAGGAAATATTACAGACACATAAAAAAAAG